CGAGGCGACATCTTCGAAGATAGGGAGGCGATGATGTGAATGTATTGCTTTAAGTTGAGCGCGCAACTCACAAAACCAGAAAGGCTACGTCGCCATTGCGGACGGAACAAAGCTAGGAATCAACGGGGTGGGGTCTACAACAGCCAGAGCGAGAGACGCAAAAAGAGGACATAGGCAAACTAGGAAGGAGAGGGATCCGGAGTGAGAACCCCGGAAGAAAAAAAAGATTCCCTCACACAGACTTGAACTATGGACCTCGTCATAACCGGAAGAACCAGTACTAGTGACGCGCTCTACCACTGAGCTATAAGGGACCCTTCACGGACAACAAAAGTAAAGCACTAAAACACGTAGAAACAGTACACTGGCGCACCTTCCTGAATTCGCCCGGTACGTTGATGGCTCTTATGGATTTTGTTGTCTACTTTACTATCTTATCAACTCACCCAGCCACTAACAAACCTGGCGGCCTCTTCCATCATTTCAGGCGACACTGCATGACCAATCCCATCCTGCACAACGACCCGCTTGATCCCTCCGTCACTGACGACAAGCCCCTCCACAAATGCTTTGCTAAACTCCCAGGGGACCAGCTCATCAGCTCCACCTGATAAGACCAGTATACACTTCCCGACAAAAGGGTTTGAAGGCGACTCTTGATCGTATGCGACTGAGACAGGATCGTGCTCTGAGATGTATTTCCGAAGAGACTCAGGAAAGAATGGCGGCTCGACTCTGATTCCATGCTTTACAGCTCTGGCCTCCATTAGTCCAAGATAGTTTGGACATCCTAAAGAATGAATGGTAAGTGACACTCGTGTTACACTTGGTGCAAATAAGCTCACCGATGATCGGTATACCCAGACTCAATCGAGGCTCTGTAAAATTCAACATTCTTAGCTTGGCTAAATGGTTGTGTAGACAGAAAATACCATCTTTGAGAGCAATCCATGCTGAATGACCCCCAAGGCTAACTCCAATCACACCCCACCGGACGACATGACGCTCGTCTGTTGGAAATAGGTAGGAGGGAAGAAAGTCTATCAAGAATGAAATATCTCTAACGGCTCCGACTGCGATGTTGAGATATCAACAGCGGATAACTGGACGAAGGTGCCAGAATCCAATCTTACCCTGTAAGGCATACATGTCTAATCTGGTCACAAACTGTCAGAGCCATACACCACAGTTATATAACAATTAATCCTTACGCGTGCTTATCGTTGGGTTTGTCTGCCTTCTCTGCCCAACCAAAGTTAGATGTCTCATGAAGTACCCGTGTCCCATGATTACGGTGATCCTACACGAGTGGCTCACCCTTAGCGTAAGACTGAAGTGTTGGGTGCAGAACTACTTACGAAGGTCACCACAATGAGACCTTTGGCAGAGCTACTGCGTGAAGGCTCTCCTTCGTCCGGGTACGTCAAGAGCTGAGCGATGAAAGTGTTCATATATCGCGACTTGGTAGAGCCCATGCGTCCGTGCAAAAGGAATACGACGGAAACCGACTCAGAATCCATTCCATCACATGTGTGAATGTCTACAGAGAGACCGGCTACTGGAATGCTTGTCGTCTTGACGGACATCGTGCAGCTTGAGGCGAGGGAGATAAATGGCGGACTCAGGGGTCAAACGCGGACGGTGATTAGTCATAATCGCCGTTCCGGGAATTGAGAAATTGTCCAGTACCTCTCTCACCACAGCTCGAGACTCCTTAACCAAACACACCGCTTAAACTCACTTATAAGTGGAAAGCTTCAATCATGCGTAAGCGTCTCGAGTGACCGCGGTCGCTGGAAACTCTCGCTGACGACCCGAATGCCTCCCTTCGTCCAGCTCCGAAAAAAGCACAGAAGATGGCCCTCAGCGACTTCCTGCAGGACTCCTGTGCGTTTCGCCGACTGAAGGCAATGCGAGAACCTTCTTGACGAGCTTCTTATATAGCTTTGGGCTCCTGGGCGGACGAGATGGATAACATCCCCACAGCTCGTCAGTTCTCGCCTAGCGGTCCAAGTCACTCGATCCAGCAATCAGACTAATCTCGCCTGTTCCAGCTGCTCCCCGCGCCGAAGATGGCTCTCGTGCCAGGGACTTCGAAGGCCGTAGTGGTTATAACGACTTCCCTCCTCGAGGTGCGATTCCGATTCCCGCTCAACCCCCTGAACAGGGACTTACCGGGTGTACCCCGAATCTCAGAGAGCCGCTATCCTCCCAGGGAGGAACTTCCACTACCCACAAAGCCCCCGTATACGGCGTTTGTCGGCAACCTTGCCTTCGACATCTCAGAACATGACGTAGAGGAGTTCTTCAAGGTCCCAGTACGTTAATTGGGCTGTGCAGAGGTTTAGCGATGACCTAATGCCCCGAACCATTAGCTCAAGAGCGTGAAAATAATCAAGGATAGGGATGACAAGCCCAAGGGCTTCGGTTATGTCGAATTCGAGACACTCCAAGGTCTCAAGGAAGGCTTGGCCAAAACTGGAGCAGTGAGTATCGGACGTGATCAGGTGATGAGGCGTTCCTCACCACCCGCATCTTCCAGCAACTTTCCGGTAGAACAGTCCGCGTTAGCGTAGCGGAACCTCGTAAGTCTACATTCAAATCAAGCTGCGCATCCTTCTCACGACGTTCGATACATCCTATCCTGTAGAAAAGGAACGCGAACCCCGCGGTGGATTTGACGACGACAAGTTCTCCTCCCCCTGGCGCCGCGAAGGCCCGCTCCCTCCTCTCGATCGTCCTCCCCGTGGAGGTGGAGGTGGTTCTCGCTTTAGCGATGCTCCATCTGCCGATCGCGGCGAGCGAATGGGTTTCGGATCGAGGTTCACTCCAAGCAGCCCTCGTGCCCCTGCGTCTCGTGATTTGCCTCCCACTGAGGCCGAAAACAACTCCGACTGGAGAGCTTCTGCTCGTCCTCGTGGCCCTCCACCGCCATCCGACCGTCCTGGACCCGGGCCAAGGAAGACCTCTGGATTTACCCCACAGGACGGACCTGCTCACGCCGCTGACACTGAAGAGGTCTGGTCCAAGGGGTCCAAGTTCTCCCCGACGCCCTCCGACGCCCAGGCGAATCCTCGCGGCAAGAGCGGGTTTTACAACCGAGATGCGAACCGTACAGGAGAGGATGAACCGAGCGACTGGCGTTCTGGACCACGCCGGGGTCCCCTCCCTCCTAACGGCCGTTCCGACAGATCTCGTAAGCGCCCTCCTCTTCCAACCCCGTCGGACTACTATTCGAGAGCTAACACACTCTTGCGATACAGCGAGTGAATCTGTTCCATCGACTCCAACCATGGGAAGACGCAAGCTAGAACTCCTTCCTCGCGCTTCCAGCCAATCGACGGCAACCTCGCCAGTTGGCTCACCAAAGGCTGCTACCCCCAGTGCCAGCACAGTCCGCTCCAATCCCTTTGGCGCAGCCAAACCGGTCGATGCAGCTGCTAGAGAGAAGGAAATCGAAGACAAACTGACCCGAGAGCGTGAGGCCAAACCGAAGGAACGCTTGACGGACGAAACAAACCGCCCTCCTCGTAACGAGCGTGGCGGATTCCTCAATAGAGGAGGTGGCGGTACTGAGAAGGAGGGAGGATGGCGGGATCGTCGTCCGCAAGACTCACAACCGACTTCCGGAGGAAACTCACGGTCCGCGTCGGCTGCTCACTCCAGGACGACATCGTACGACGGAGGCGCGACCACACCTCCCTCCGCTGGAGCTACTACCGCTGCTAAAAAGCCATTCTCGTTCGCGGCCTTGGCCAGCGAAGTCGCAGTCATCGAAGGAGAAGAAGACGATCCACAGAGCGATGAGGCTAAGACCAAGGAAGTCACCGTTGAGTGAATTGCCTTTTGAGGTCATCGCAGTATCAAAAAGCCTTCCCGCATCCCAAGCTCAGGCACTGGTGCGACCAGGTTCGGTTTTGGTTTAGTCCCCGCTTTCACTTCATCCGCTTGTCCGGTATCGTCTCGTCTCGAAATCTTGCTTCAATGTTCCTTTTCCTGTCCATCTAGCTTCGTTCTTTCGGTCGCTGTCGTTCTACCTCCCCTCTGTGTGTACGATCTTCTGCTGAAGGACTTTATACCTTATGTTGCGTTGTATCTGATGTTCTATATCACGCTGTTTTGTCTCTACTCGTCGTTTTTCGATGCGGTGTGTCCCGCCAAATCAATGCCATAACAAGATAGTCCAGTGAACTCAGTATCGGGACCTTTCATCGTCGAATCTCCCTCTTCGTTCGAGCTCCGGGTCTTTGAATTTCATCCTTCCACGACCTGCAGTACTCTCTGGTCAGAATCTAAAATGTTTAGCTTCCAATGAAGATTCACCTTTGAATCGGACGCCAGTGCTGGACTCCGTCTGAACGGCCTTCATCTTCAGGTCCTCGAGTTCTTTTCGCTTGGCAGCTGCAAGCCTCTCCTTTTCTTCTCTCTCAAGTCGGGCATCTAATTCATCCAGAGTCTCCTCGCGAGGTGAAGCAGCCCTGCGGTCCCTGTCGCGGTCGCGATCGTCCGAAGGTGAACGGGATCGACGGGACTTCTTTTTGCTCCGGTCCTTGTCTTTGGATGGGCGGTGTTTCTCTTTGTCCTTCTTCGATCGATGCTTATGCTTGCGTTTCCGACTTTCGTCTTCAGACTCGGACTCGGAACCTCGGGAATCGGACGAATGGCGGCGCTTTTTCTTGCGTTCGCTTGAAGAGACCGACGTTGAGCGACCACGGGCTACGAAATTCAAGTATTGGAACGTCTACACTGTGTTTGGTCGTTTTCACTCAAGATTGGCTTACCAGGGGCTTGAAGCTTCGGGGGAACTCTCCTCAGTTCGAGCTCAGCGGAGTGAGAAATGACAACCGGCTGGAGGGGTCGACTCTTCTCGTCCGTAGGGATCTCCGAGATTCGCTTGACAATGTCGAAGCCTTTGGTGAGGTTGCCCCGGTCGGTGTCAATGAGCAGTCTGCTACGAGTGAGGAAAGCCCTTCGACGTACCCGAGGCTACGCGACCGAAAACGACATGTTTCCCATTCAAGTGAGGGCATTCCTTCAAAGTAATAAACCATTGAGAGCCGTTTGTGTTCGGTCCTGTGGGAATGAAGGGCAGGACAGTTCAGGTTGTGCTCCGCATGGTTGAGTCGTTACGAGCCTACCTTTGTTCGCCATGCATAGCAAGCTACCCAATCAAAGGGGAAAGATGTATTGAAGCAATTAGTCCCATGGTCTTGACACATTGAAACAAGCAACCACTCACCCTTCAGAGTCGAGAGCCCGAGACAAATCCTCGTCGTCAAACGGCTCCCCATAAATGCTCTCGCCGCCCTTTCCG